TACATCTGTGGAAGGAACCGCTGGAGAAGCTCAATATCAGCTGTGAAAACTAGGCCGGGGGCTGATTGTGGAACAGACCACCAATTACTCATATGCAAATTCAAGCTGAAGCTGAGGAAACTTAAACCAAAACTTATTTGTGTTAGGGAAAAATAATCTGGAAATAACTGTCTTTCAACAGGCAAATAGTGCAAGCATACAATGGAAAATTTTGCAATCATTAAAAAAGAATGGATCCTTGATATACACTATTTGGATGAATCTGTAGAGTGTTATATTGAATGAATAAAGCTAATGTCAAAAGTTAGATTATTTATATCATACTCTCAAAATAACATTATAAAAATGGTGAACAAATCAGTGGTTGCCAGTAGTTAGACTAGGACAATGGTCTTACCATAAAGGGTTGGCATAAGAAAGTTTCTTAAAGGACAAATATTGCATGGTGCCACTGCTGTAAAATGGGACTGATATCAGGGTGGGGGTAAGACTGAGAAAAACTGGATAAATTGTGTATAATGCACTGAAACAGATGAGGGACTGAATAATTTAAAAGCAATGTATGATAGGGTATTATGGTTATCACAAGAGTCCACAATTAAGGTTGCATAGTGGAATGTACTTGGGGCAGTGGGAAGGGTGTGGGGGGATTGTGTACCAGGGAGGGAGTCTTTCTTTTAGTTTTGAAAGAGAGGAGCGAACTGGGGGGGTGGGAGGAGAGGGCTGGGAGGGTAGAGAAGTGCAGCACTGAATGAATGGAAATCCAAATTCTCTGTAAATGTTCATTAAAATTATTTTTTTTTTAAAAAGAAAGTTTCTTTATAGTCGTGAACAGTTCTGTGTCAATGTTTATATAAAACTATCCATGGATAGTTCTTATGAAACTGTAAGAAGCTGTACTGCAATCTCAAAGGCACACAGTTCGAATCCACCAGTTGCTCTGAAGAAAAAGGATGAGTCTCCTACTGTTCTATCTACTACCTTTGAAAACCTACTGGATGGTCAGTTATGACATGACTCCAACTTGACAGCACACAGAACAACAACAAAATATGATAAAAATCCGTCGCACATGTACCTCCCTCCTCAAGTAAAGTATGCATAGACTAGTAAAACATACCATGAACCAACAAGAGAGCAAACAGGTCTGTCTTAGAGAGGGTGAAACTGAGTTACTCTTCAGAGGCAAGGATTTTAATGGTTTGACTCATATACTTTGGGCACAGGGCCAGGAGGGACCAGTCCTTGGAACTGGACAATGACTAAGGATGACAGAAGAAGAATTCATGCCTTTGAGTTGTGGTGCTACAGAAGAGTATTGAATGTATCATGGACTGCCAGAGAAAGAGGATGAAACCAAGTTTCTCCTTGGAGGCAAAGATTTTGAAGCGGTCTCATATACTTTGGGCATGTGACATGGAGGGACTGGTCCTTGGAAAAGGACATCATGCTTGAAAGGGTGGAGGGACAGCTCAAGAGAGGAAGACCCCAGATGAGATGCATGGACACTGTAACTGGGGTAATGGGGGTAGGTGTGTTGGAATCAGTGAAACTGGCTCAGGATAGGGCAGAATTCAGAGGTGTTGTACATAGGGACACTATCAGTCACATAACAACAAAACAGACTGGTAAAATAGAACAGAATACATAATTCAGGTAATAGTATTTGATCAATGTCAATTTCCTACTTTTGCAAATGAACTATAGTAATGTAAAATGTTAGAAAGCTTTGGTAGCCTAGTGGTAAGAAGCTGAACCACAATCCCAAAGGCACTGGGTTCAAATTCACCAGCTGCTCTGCAGCAGAAAGTTGGACAGTCACCGCCTGTGCCTCAGAAAACTCACTGATTGGTCAGCTATCAGTCAGTTCTGACTCGACAGTACTGAACAACAGTGTAAGGTGTTAGCACTAGAGAAAGCTAGATTGAAAATACACAAATAGATGGGATAAATGATGTACACTGCATTGAACCAGATGAGGGAAAGAACTGCTTAAAAGGAGTGTATGATTAGTTATTATTTGCATGACAACAGTCCAGAATAAGAGCTGCGTAGTAAAGTGGACTGTAGAAGGGGAAACTACAACAATGAAAGAATATTTTTTTTTCAAAGAGAAAAGCAAACTGGGGAGAGGGGCAGGGAGGAAAATGTGCAACACTGGATGAATGGAAATCCAAGTTTTCTATAATCTTTCATTAAAATCTCAATTAAAAAAACAAACATTGTACTATTTTGCAATGTTTTATATTAAATTATTTTAAAATAAAAGAGACCCAAAAAAGGATATATTGGGTTAATAGGTGAAAAGTAAAAAACTAGGTGAGAAATAAGGTGGGCTTTAGACACAGTTTGAATAAAAATTCACATCTTCATATTTATAGTTCCAGTCTCTAAAGATTTCTTCCACTCTGCCCTCCATATTATGTTGGCTGTTTTTCTAATGGTAGTAACTTCTCTAATGATAGTCCCTGGAACTGCTTGCTTTCTTTTTTCCATCTAACTAAGAAGAAAAAGAGGATGTGTGCTATCCTTCAACTAGAGTGGGTAGAAAAGCCAGGAGTTCTACTTTGCTTGGATCATCATATAGCAATTCTCTGTCTCCCAAGCAGTCATTTCGGTATAAGGGGTGAGAAAGGGAAAATATTGTGCACTGACTGCCCACCAGCGTGACGAAGGAAAGGTATGATTACCTGATTGGGTCAGATCACTTGTGCCCCACCCAGAGCTGGGATAGAGTCAATCCCACCCAAGGTAAGATGAAATGGAATGCTGGGTAGTAAACCCCAATATCCTGTACAACTTCCTATAGAAATTCATTCTTCTCTCTGTTTTAGAAGAATCATACTTCTTAGTATCCACCACTGATGTATTTTAAATATATATATGAGTTTGCTGTGGAAAGAAGGTGTAAAAATGCCATACTAAGAAGAAGAAAGACCATTACAAAAGGCCAGAGATATGGAAAGGAATAGACTCACCTGGGAAACAGTGAAAATTTCCATGTGGAGAGGCATAGAGTTCTTCCACTGTATGACTATACCATAATTTTCTATCCATTCATTTGTTGATGGGTGCAGGGGTTGCTTCCTTTTTTTTGCTATTGTAAATAATACAGCAGTAAACACGGGTGTGCATATATATATCTGTATGGACAGCAGTTATGGTTTCTTTAGGGCATATTCCCAGTAGTGGAAATGCTGGGTCAAATGATATTTCTATTTCTAACTTTTTGAGAAAGCCAAACTGCTTCCATAGTGATTGCACCATTTTACACACCCACCAGCAGTGAATAAGGGTTCCAATCTCTCCACAACCTCGCCAGCATTTATTGTTTGCTGCTCTGTTGAACTTTGCTATTGTTACTGGGGTGAGATGGTATCTCATAGTTGTTTTTATTTGCATCTCTCTGATAGCTAGGAGAGACATAGAGATCTTGGAATAGGGCAGCCAGGTGATGAAGAGCCTTGAATGCACATCAGAAATCAAGAGTAATGAGAGGACAATGAAGACTTTTAAGAAAGACCCATACTGGTTGAATTGATCTTAGAAAGATCTCTTTGGTCACAGCATGGAAGAAAGGCCTGGAAGAGGGACCTCAGTGGAGCTTGAACAAGAGAAGATGAAGGGCAGACCCAGAATGACAGCCATGAGCCTTGAGTGAAGTGGGTGGAGTTTGTGGACGATAACAAGATAGGCCTCAGCTCTGTTCTGATGGAATTTTTTTAATACATAAACTTTGTCAAGTGTTAGACTTTTTGAAGTTGTAGTGGGAAAGATGTGAGAATGATGAACTCAAAATTTCTGACTTGAGCACTTGATTTTTTTTTTTTTAACTGATGAGGTGGAGATGTGCAACTATGTCTTCTGTTCCTGACAAGTGAGATGAAGATTTAGAAAGATCTTGGAATTTAGTGACAAAAAGTTTTACTGTACAAAGGACAGAATTCAAGTAAATTGTATCAGAATAAGTCATGAATGCACAAAGCAACATTCTGTGAAGTCAGTTGCCTGTGTGAACCTGCTAGGGGAGGAAGGGGTTGCAGGGGGAAGACCCATGCCTTCAGCTTGCTGTTTTTCAGGCTCTCAGGAGGAACACCCTGCCCACCAAGATGGGAACACAGGCATCGCGGTGGAGGTGACAAGAGTGAGCCCCCATGAGCACAGTTACCCTTTCCTGAACCGACCACTGGACTGCAATGACGGGCAGGCTCCAGAGTCCAGGCTATTCCCCCGGCACTGCTTCCTGGCCACAGTGACTGCCAGAGACATCCCAGGCAGCCCTGAAGAGGCCCTGGTCCCCAAACCAGACCAACATGAATCAGCCCCCTAAACATTAAATAAAAGTCTCGGCACTACCTTGTTTTCGAGTCTCTGTGTGGGGAAAGGTGGGAGGTGAGGTGTGATCAAAAGAACTGTAGAACCTGGAAGGATAAATAAAGGGCTTTTCCCAGAAAACCACCTAAATCTCAGTGATACTGCTCTAGCTGGGCTACTGGGGGTCCTAGGCAAAAAGGCTGTCATAGAAGCCCAGAGTTTGGGGGGAAAAGGCCTCAGAGAAACCTAACATAGCCTGGTTCAAGGAGTCAGAGAATTCCCATTTGGTCTCCTTATCTCAGAGCCCCTGGGAAAATGATTGGCGTCTCTGAGTGGTGCAAATGGGTAAGAGCTCAACTATTAAAAGGTTGGCAGTTGGAACCTACAAAAAGGTCTGGCAATCGACTTTGGAACAATTCCACTCTGCACACACGAGGTAACCACGAGTTTGAATTGACTTGGTGATGGGTTTTTGATTTGGGGAAGATCATCAGGGCCCAGAAGGCAATAACCCCATTCCTAGAGTGAGCCTTAGCCCCTACCAAGGAATTAAATAAGAGGGAACCCAAAATGCAAAGGGCCAGTCATGTTCCTATCATTCAATTTCTTAAGTGGATGGAAGATTATATGAGTAAATGAATAAATGAGAGAAATCATGGTCGGTGATCTAAATGCAGGTTCCACAGTTCAGACTAAGACAATTCTAAACTTTGTGTGGCCTTAATAAAGTCACTCTTGAATCTCCCTCGCTTGTCCCAAGTGTCTAATGAGATTATGGATTTAAACTCTCTCCATAGACATGAACGTACTACAAAGACTAAATTACACATGGGAATTTTCAACATAGCATAGTCACCATCTATGTTGTTGTTATGTGCCATCAAGTTGCCTGTGACTCATAGTGACCCAATGTACAACAGCCTTAAAGCCTGCTCTATCCTGTGCTAATCTTATTGTTTCTGACACACCTACTCCCACAAACCCAGTCACTGAATCCATCTCATCAAGAGTCTTCTTCTCCTGTACTGTCTCTCCACCCTCCCAAACATGACGTTCCTCTCCAAGGACTGATCCCGCCTTGCAACATGTCCAGGATACGTCAGATAGAGCTTCAGAATCCTTGCCTCCAAGGAGCAGCCTGGCTTCACTCTCTCCAGAATGAACTTGTGCGATCTCTTAACAGTCCATAGTATATACAATACTCTTCTCCAATACCACAGCTCAAAGGCATCAATTCTTCTATCATCCCTAGTGGGGAGAGAATTAAATTACTGGATGCAAAGTATTTAAAACAATGCTGGAAAATGGAAAGTACAATGTGTTAGTTATTTTGTTGTTTTTTTATTTTTAATTTTTGTTAAACTGATAAGAAAAGAATCTTAAGGCAGGATTCCGTCAGCCACTCCTCTCTCCCAGCCGCTCCTGTTGGTGAATGGCTTTGGACTCTGCATTGGAAATGCAAGGCAATGAGCAGGAAGAATCACTAGCCACTGAAAAGCAGCTCTTGATATTTCTGACAATGACATGACTGGCTGCTGGAATCAGCACAATGAAATGGTCCTCAGATATCTGTGTGTGGGGCTCAAGCTAGTCAAAGACAAGAGATGGGGGCAGCAAAGCTGGGTGAGTCACCCCACTCAAGTTCCCTGGGCTGGAACCCAACAGGCTTTGGTTCTAGTCTTGCTTCATTTGTCTTGTATCTTACCCCCTCCCATTCTATCACTTTAGTCTCATCATCATTGTCAACTGACTACATTCAGTGGGTTATCTATTCTATTCGAAGATCTGTGCAAACATTCAGAAACAGGTGAATCAGGAACAGCTTTTGCCCTCAAAGTGTAGGCATGTATAAAGGCCGTGGCGGTATGGTAGCCCTTGAGGAAGCCTGAGGGAAGAAGAAGTAGTAGTGTCTGAACTGAATCACCAAAGATGAGTCAAAGTTTCCAGGTGAGGCAGGGTCAGAAGATGTTCTAGTCAGAGTACAACCTGTTCACACAGTGAGAGGGAATAGAGCATAAACCAGGACTGCAAGTTATTTTTTCAGATTGCTTAAGGCACCTGAGGAAGGGGGAGTGAGAAGTGGGAGAGTTCCTCAAGGATGTTCAGTGTGACTTTTAACAGGGCAGATCTCTGTCCCTAGTGTCCTTCAGTAAGACTGCATTTTTTTCTGAGCACCTTCTGTGCCCCCCCCCACTTTGTCAGTGAGACGGGGGCAGAGGCAAAGATGTTGCAAGGAAGAACGGGATAATGCCCTTGCCTTTAGACTGCAATCTGACCAGAGAGGAAGATCTGTAAGTTCTAACAATTCCAGGGGTCATCAGTCCAAAGCAGTGTTTCTGGATTTCAGCAGGCATCAGAATGCATCTAAAGGTCTTATTAGAACATACACTGCAAAAGCTTGCCCTCCCCTAGAGTCTGATTCTGTGGATTAGAAGTTGGGTTTTGAGAATTTGCATTTCTAACAAGTTCCAGGTGATGCTGGTTCTGCTGATCTGGACCACCCTTTGAGCATGTCTGGGCAGGAAGAACAAAGACACTGATTTAAGAACTATGAGTGGGAGAAGTCAGGAGGAGACCTCACACTGAGCAGGGTCTCGAAAATTGGTAAAATTTCCCCAGCAGAGGCTTGTGTAGACAGGGTGGGCTCAAATGGAGAACAGAAGGTGTGTATTACCTTCCCTGACCTACACATGGCCCTACCCCATCCACTATGTTCGGCTCTCATTTTGATTCATTCAGTCCTCAGAGCTGGTTCTCAACCACGGTGGACTTGTCTGGAGTCTTGTGTTAGAAACAAACTGCCCATCTTGTACACAGGAACCCCTCCCCCAGGGCAGCCAGGGAGTGAGGAAGCTGGGTGGGCTGACGCACAGACAGAAATAGCCTGAGCTCACCGCTGCTCTAAAGCACACATCGACCGGCAATTATTTCTTGTAAATTGCTTTCCCGGTTATGTTCAGAACATCCGTGCGTGCCGGCCTGAGAACAAACACTCAGGGTCACATGGTGGAGTGGCAGAGAGGTGGGCTCCAAGTGGAGAGGGGCCGGAGTGTTCCATTCCAGCCAAGAATCTCCTTTCCAGCATTCCTGCCAGGTAGTTTTCCAGCCTCTTCTAAAATGCACTCATGTTTATTTGTTTATTCAACATTGATTCACATTGATTCTCTGCCAGGATCTGTTTAAATGTAATCTCAATCCCTTGGCCTCAAAAAGGGCCCAGGCAAAAGGGCTCCAAGGAAGGCTTCCTACAGGATGTGATACTGGTAGTAAATCTTGAAGATCTACTAACATCAGGGAGTTTATGAAGAAAGATGGGGAACAGCATTCAAAGCAGAGCATTCAAAGCAGATGCAAAGGCCCAGAGGGAAGAGAGAACACACCATAAACAATAAGTTATCAAAGAACAAGAAGTCGTTCCATTTGGGTGGACACTAGCATCACAGTGAGGAAAGGTGACAGATGAAGTAGGAAGAGTAGATGGGTAAAGACCTAAAACATTAATGGGCTTGGACTTTATCCTAAATCTAAGGAGTTACAGGGAAAAGGATGTAAAGGAACTTAGAACTTTGTGATAAATTGTCATAATGTTCATGACACTGAAGTGAAATTTTCCTCCCAGGAGCTACATCTAATCCAAAGGACAATGTCAGCTTATGTGCCAGTAATAATCATCATGGAGCTCCTCTTTAAAAAGGAGGAAGACATTCCTCTGTCTGGGGCATGACACTGTTCTCCTTTGTGTCCAGTCAGCTGGGACACGCAAGCCTTAAGATATAGGCCAGAGGATAAGACAGCTGGATCCTGTATGTCTAGAAGGCTCTCACATGTGGTGTGTTCATATAATGTTACTAATTCCTTCTAAATCTTACAGGATCAGGCCACCCAGAGTGGATGGTCTATTCAGGAGGTATTAACTGAGGGCCAGTCCTGTGAAGAGCCCTTTAAAAGATCTGAAGAGGGGGAGAAAATGTGTAACAATGAATAAATAAGAGAGGGAGTAAAACTCAAATATCTGCTTAAAAAATAAATAAAAGATCTGAGAAAGGTAAAAGATGCAGCCTAGCCTTTGGGGGACTTACTTAAGAGGATGAAGAATAGGTTTCATCCATGAAACACCTAGATAGCAATCAGTGAGGATTTGTAAGCAAAAGGATGTAGGGTAAGGGATATCAGAATTGCAGGGATCTGAAGCAAGGGAAAAGACATAACTGGGAGCCTTTGTGGAGGAAGTAGAATTTCATTTGACCTTGATGAACCATGGCAATATTTGAAGTTACCAACAAAGTAGAAGGCATGTCCTGTGATTTTAACTTTATATATTAAAAGCAGCAGCATTTAGTGTCTAATACTTTGGACAAATATATCAGTGTGGATCACAACTGTTGCTGACTCTGAGAAGAATGGGAATCCCAGAACATTTGATTGTGCTTATGTGAAACCTATACTTGGACCAGGAGGCACTCATCAGAACCGAGCAAGGAAACATTCCATGGTTCAAAATCTGGAACAGTGTATGCCAGGAATGTGTTCTACCTCCAAACCTTTTTAATTTATATGCAGAACAGATCACATGGGAGGCTGGGCTGTATGAGGAAGAGTGTGGCATCAGGATTGGAGGAAGATTCATCAACAACCTGTGTTATGCAAATGGCACAGCCCTACTTGCTGATACTGAGGAGGACCTGAAGCGCTTGCTGCAGAAGGTCAAGGACTGTAGCCTTCACTATGGATTGAAGCTCAACATCAAGAAAACAAAGATTCTCACCACTGGGCTGATTGACAGCATTATGATGATGGTGAAGAGATTGAGATTGATAACAGCTTTAGTTTGCTTGGATCCATAATTAACACTCTTGGTACCAGCAGCCAGGAAATCAAGAGACAAATTGCATTGGGGAAATCTGTTGTCTGGGACCTCTCCAGAATACTGAAAAGCAATGACATCATTCTGAAGATGAAAGTGCGCCCGATCAGTCCATAGTCTTTGCAATTACTTGCTATGCATCAGAGAGCTGG